AGTCACTGAGGGCTGGCTATGGCTCTGAGGGTGAGTGTGGGGTGAGCCTGGGATCTGGGGGATGTGGGCAGACATAGGGGTCAGGGGGCAGAGCAGGGTGGGCTCCCCTACCAGAACAGGTCCAGGCTTGCCTGCCCCACAGGGTAGGTAGAGGTGTAGGGAACAGAGAAGAGGGTGGCAATCCTAGCAGTGGGAAGACAGGTTGTGTCTCCTATGACCTGTCTCCTATGGTGGCTGTCCCTTAAGGTGGGTAAGGGGATTCGGGAAGGGGACTGGGGGACTGAGCAGGGGATGGGTCCCACATTGGTGGTGGTCTTAGCTGCTTCCCATTGTACCTGTTCCTTAGCTTGGGTATGAGAGGTTGAGGGACAGAGGCAAAGAATGCTCGCCTCCCATCACGGGTGCTCCCAGCATGCCTCCCACCCCAGGATGGGTACAGGGTGCCTAGAGGGATCCAGACACTGATGATCCCCCCCAGGTCCCCTGCAAGGCCGGCGGGCACTGCTGGTACATGCGGCGGAGCCGGTGGCGGAGCGGGCAGCGTGTGCCTTGATGGCAGCTCTGCGCCCACTGGGGCTGCTGGTGGTGGCAGCACCAGGGGGTGGCAGTGGGGTAGCAGCGTGGGGACCACTGCCCTGGCTGCACGCCCAGCACCGCCGGGCACTGCGTGACGGTGACACCATCATCTTCCTCCTCTCTCCTGCCGCAGTGGCTGCTGCACAACAATGGGACACGGGGGCCAGGGTTGTGCTGGGGGCCGGGGCTGCTGAAAGCAGCCTCATCCCCCAGCACAGCTCTGGCCCTGCTGATGTCCCAGCCGTGGCACCCTGTGAAGTGTTTGCGGCAGCTCTGTCCTGTGCCATGCCGGCGCTGGCGGCGGGCACTGGGCGCTACATGGTGGTCCAGCTGGAGGCCTTGGTGCCGGCAGTGCCCCCAGCACTGCAGGCAGCCCCTGCCTTTGCACTGCCCACTGAGATGGGGGGGTTCCTGCGGGCACTGGTGGGACCAGCCTGGCGGCAGGGACGGTGGCCAGAGCCATATGTTGCATCGGCGGCTGAGGGGCTGCGGCGGGCGGTGGGGGAATAAAGGGGTGACTGCTTTTCCTGACCTTGAGTCCAGCTCTGAGTCCAGCGGGGAGTGGGATGTCTTGGAGAGTGATGACAGGGGGGACTGGAATGGGTTGCGGAGGGGTGATTGGGAGGTATAGGGGGATAGGGGCAGGAAGGGAGTCTGGGCTGGCTGGGGGGTGAAGAGGAAATGGGTTGGTTTGGTTGGAAGTTGGATGGGGAACTGGACCAGTTTGGGGTGGTGATGGGGAACTGGACCAGCTCATTGTGGGATGAGGGGGAACTGGGACAGTTTGGAGGGGGGAGTGGGAGAGGGAATTGGACCGGTTCTAGGTGGGATAAGGGGCAACTGGGCAAATCTGGGGGCAGTGAGAAGGAACTGGGCCAGTTTGGGGAGGTGAGCAGGAGCTGCACCAGTTAGACTGGAGGGGGGGGAAGGTGAACGGGACTGGTTTGGCTGGGCGGGGGGTTGATGGGGAGTGTCCCCTTGGATCGGGGGTTGAGGGCCTCGCCCAGCCCGAGCGAGTCCGGTGCGGGGTCGCTGCCCATCCGCAGCCCCCGCGCCGGGTGCTCTTGGCCTTGGCCCCTTTCAGGCGCGGGGGGCGGGCCGGCCGGGCGGCTCTGATTGGCTGCGCGCGGGGGGCCGGCGGCGCTGAGTCAGCGGGCGCGGCCCACGTGGTGCGGGCGGGGCGGGAGCGCGATGGCGCCGCTGCCGGGGCGGCGCGGGGGACCCGGGCTCGGGGAGGCCCTGCTGGGGGCCGCCCTGCTCGGGGGGGTCCTGTTGGCCGCCCGCGCCGACCCCGACCCCCACCGGGACGGGGCCGAGCCGTGCCGAGCCTGCCGCGGCCTCGCCGACAGCTTCAGCAGGGTGCGGGACGGGAGTGATGGGTGACACAGGCCCTGCTGGGGGGGAGCCGGGGGCGAGGGGGCGGTGCAGGGGGGGACCCACGGGTGGCAGACGTGGAGGACACGGGCTGGCGGTGGTGGTGAGCAGGGATGAAGCGGGTTCTTGGAGGGGGGATGTAGCCGAGGGAGGCCAGAGGCAGCACAGGCCGGTGTGGTTACAGGGATGGCTTTGGGGACTCTGGTGAGGTGGAGCACTCCCACAGCATCCCTAGGGAGGGGAGGGAGTCCCGGGGCACAGGGCCTGGGCTCTAGGGAGAGGAGAGGGTGGCAGATCCTGGGGGGTGGTGTGTCCTTTGTGGGGAGGAGAGGGACACGGCTCTGGTGGGACTTTATGGGGAGGGAGGTTACCGGGGGGTCCCATGGCTGTGCTGCCACCCCTGCCTTGTGCCCAGGGCCTGGAGCGGACAGAGCATGAGGGCTTTGGTGGGGGCAACACAGCCTGGGAGGAGGAGAAGCTGTCCAAGTACCAGCACAGGTGAGTGACCCCAACCAGTGATAACTGGGGGAGCCCAGCTGCCCCAGGGGATGTGTCCCTGCACTGACTCCTGTATCCCTGCAGTGAGACCCGTCTCCTGGAGGTGCTGGAGGGTGTCTGTGCTCCCTCGGACTTCGCCTGCCACCAACTGCTGGAGCGGAGCGAGGAGCATGTGGAGCAGTGGTGGTTCCACGAGTGAGTCTGGGGATGGGGACATGGGGGGGCAGGGGGATGGCAGGGGACTGAGCACTGTGTCCCCTCTCCCCAGGCGGCAGCAGCACCCTGACTTCTTCCAGTGGCTGTGTGTGGACAGGCTGATGCTCTGTTGCCCACCCGGCACCTACGGCCCGGACTGCCGGCGTGAGTAGCTGTGGGATGAGTGGGGTGGTGCTGGGGCTGGAGGGGCCCCCCCTGGCTGCCACCCCTGCCCCAGCTGCCAGCCGGCTGGTCTCTCCCTGTGTAGCCTGTGCCGGCGGGCCCCGGCAGCCCTGCAGCGGCAATGGGCGATGCGATGGTGACGGCACACGCCGCGGCACCGGCCTCTGCGTCTGCAGCCTGGGCTATGGCGGCCCCTTCTGCGCCGAGTGTGGTGATGGCTACTATGAGGCCTCGCGGAACAAGAGCCACTTGATGTGTGCTGGTAGGTGGGGGCCAGGGGGGCTGTGCAGCCAGGGTTTCCCTGTTGCTACCCAGACTCTGGGTGCAGGCAGCTCCCCCTGCCTGCACCCACACCGGCTCTTCCTGGCTGCAGAGTGCTACCAGGCATGCGGGCGCTGCACGGGGCCCGAGGACTCCAGCTGCCTTCGCTGCAAGAGGGGCTGGGTACTGCACGAGCACCGCTGCATCGGTGAGTGAGGGTCGGGGGTGAGCTTGGGGCCGTGGGGGGCTGTGTCTCAGGAGCCAAGGGCTCGGCAGGACAATCCCCAGTTCTCCCGCAGACATCGACGAGTGTGGCACAGAGATGGCGCATTGCCGAGCCAACCAGTACTGCGTCAACACGGAGGGCTCCTATGAGTGCCGAGGTCAGGAGGAGGTGGAGGATTTCTGTGCAGGTGGCTCTCCCCTGCTCGAGGCCAGCCCTGGCTGGAATGGGAGGGGACTCCAGCACCAACCCTGGCTCCTTTCTCCATGGCAGACTGCTCCACGGCTTGCATCGGCTGCATGGGTGCCGGACCGGCTCGCTGCAAGAAGTGCAACAAGGGCTACTGGCGGGATGGAGCCAAGTGCCTGGGTGAGTGCCTCCCATAGGCTGGCTGTCTGTACTGCCCACTCCCCACTGCCCGAGCCCTGCCTGAGCGCTGTGTCCCCCCCAGATGTGGACGAGTGTGCCAGCGCCGATGAGCCGGTGTGCACTGGAGCACAGGAGGTGTGTGAGAACACGGAGGGCAGCTACCGCTGCGTCTGCGCCCAAGGCCACGTCCGCCGGGATGGGCAGTGTGTCGAGGACAAGCCCCCTGGTACGGCTCACACAGTGTGGGGGGAGGAGTAGAGGGTGTGGGTGGCAATGGGGGGGCTCTGGCTGCTTGGCTGTGCCTCCCCACGAGCACTGCCCACGCAGATGCCCCAGAGAAAGGCTTCTTTGACGACGTGACCGATGACGAGGTGGTGGTGCTGCAGCAGATGTTCTTTGGTGTGATGATCTGTGCACTCGCCACGCTGGCTGCCAAGGGCGACATGGTCTTCACTGCCATCTTCATCGGTGCCGTGGCCGCCATGGCCGGCTACTGGCTCTCTGACCGCAGCGACCGTGTCCTCGATGGCTTCATGAAGGGCAGATAGCTCTGGGGCTGCTGGGCACGAGTGGGGAGGCAGGCTCAGCCTGACGTGTGGGGCCCGCCCCAGCAGGGCTGGCTGACGAGGCTGCATCCTGCACACAATGCTGTGCCCTGCATGCGTCCCCCAGCCCCGCCTTAGCGTAGGGTCTCGTTTTCTCCCCCCTGCAGAAAGAGCCAGGGGTACCTGATCCTGGGGGCTCCCACGCAGCCTTCTCTGTCTGGAGGGGTGATGCCAGGCAGTGTGGCACTGTGTGGGGGGCACAGCATGCTGCCCCCAGCCCCTCGTGCTCTGAAGGAGAAACCTGGAATCATGGCAAGTGGAGGTGGGGGGGCAGGTGAGGGGGTGATTCTGCTACCTGCCCCCAGGCTAGGGCTTCTGGCCCTGTTAGGACCCCCCTCCCATAAGGCCATTCCCTGTGGGGCAGTGAAGGGCTAGGTCCCCCCTCCGCCCTGAGCTGTGGGGCTGGGAGAGCTGCCCCCCATCCCACCCCTCCTCCCCATGTCCCTGGGCAGAGCCCATCTCCCCTCCCAGACTGGACGGGCTGGGGACCCCGTGTTGCTGGGGGTGCCATGCTGGGCAAGGGGGGGCCCTGCCAGATGCATGAGTGTGGCCATTGCATTTGTCCGTGGTTTGTCCGTCAGGGTGTGCCCATCTGTCTGTGTGTCCATATCTCAGGAAATAAAGCTCTGCACACCCAGCTCAGCTGCTGAGGGCCAGGATTGGGGGGGGGCTGGAGGTGCTGCTACCCACCTCCACCTCCACATGCCAACAGGAGCTCCTCCCAGCATAAATTCTTTATTTCTCTCATTTGGCACAAATGGAGCCAGCCCCTGCCTGGCCCTGCAGGGGCGCAAGATCAGACCCCCCACACCCCCACACTGGGCTCATCCCCCTGCGCCCTCAGTCTCTGCGCCCTCAGTCTCTGCCCGGCCCTGGCTCAGAGCTCAATGGTGTCGCTGGAGAGGCTGCGGGAGTCCACCGCCTTGCCAAGGGCTGGGAGGCTGCGGGGACCCTCGCGCTCCCAGCCGGGGGGTCCGGCGGGCACCAGGAGAGGGGCCCGGCTGGGAGCCTCGTCCAGGGGCAGGCTGTCAGGTGAGGACAGCCCGTGGCGCCAGGGGTTCCAACTGATCTTCAGTGAGCTGCTCTCCAGTGAGCTGGCCGAGGCGGTGACAGTGACGGTGATGGTGCCGGGGGGTTGCCGGGGCCCGGGCAGCTCTGTCAGGGAGCTGCACCGCACCATGCGCCCCAGGCCGGGGCTCGGGGCTGGGGAGCCATGTAGTGAGGTGCCCGAGCCACGGCGGGGCCGGCTGAAGAGGCTGTCCTGCAGGAGGTGGCGGCGGCAGAGCGCCTGGTCAATGCTGCGGCGCAGGTCGATGGGGGACGGCGGGCGGAAGACCAGCTCCCCGAGTGAGGGGGACGAGCCCTGCTCGAAGGTGGCACAGGAGCGGGCGGCCAGCAGGTTGGGGCACTTGGGGCTGAGCCCTGGAATCCCAGCGCCAGCCGCCCAGGCCTCATTGCTGTCCTTGAGAGCCCGCAGGGGCAGCTGCTCCGCCGGGTTGCGGATGAGGCTCTTGGAGATGTCATTGGCAGGTGTCCGCTCTGCGCTGGTGCCACTGGCACTGCCACCGGCCCAGTCGTAGCAGTTGTTGGGGTACTCGGGCGCCTCGGCTTTGCGGCCAGCACAGAAGTACCGCAGCGCCTTGGCCCAGCAGGAGTGGCCAGCGGGGCTCTGGCGGTGGCACTGGCAGCACACGGGCTCGGCGGTGGTTGCCAGCAGCGCCAGGGCTGTGCCCAGCTCACCGATCCGCAGCCAGAGCTGTGCCACCCAGCCGGGCCGGGAGAAGCGCCCAGGGGGCCCCAGGACCCCTCGCAGCCACACAGCGCTGTAGAGCTGCAGCCCGCAGACCGGCAGCCCCGCCACCGCTGCTGCCAGCAGCGCCCGCGCCCCTGGCCTTGGGCCTGGCTCCTCACAGGGCGCCCGCAGCACCCGCCAGCACCCCCAGAGCCCCCCCAGCAGCAGCAGGGCCCCTGCCACACAGCCCAGTGCCTGCAGCCCCAGCGCGGCGGGGCCCAGCCGGGGCGGCAGCAGGTCGGCGGCTCCCAGCACCACACTCTGCAGGGCGGCAACAGCCCCCAGCGCCGGCAGCCCCCGCAGCCGGGCCGGCAGCAGCCGCAGCTGGGCCAAGCGCTGGAGCCGCTGGAGCAGGAGGGCAAAGGCAGCGAGCAGCAGCGGGAAGGGAGCCGTGCTGAGCAGCAGCAGCGCCAGGGCAGGCAGGCGGCCCCGTGCCCCGTAGGGGTCCAGCAGCAGGAAGGTGGCCCGCAGCAGGCAGGCAGCCAGCAGCAGCCCGTGGGCCCCCACAGTGTGGGGCAGGTGTGGGGGCCGCAGGATGGCCGTCCCTGCCAGCCCCGCCAGGCATCCCAGTGCCAGCAGCAGGAAGATGGCAGCCAACCCATAGACATGGGCCTCCCAGGAGAAGCCCAGCTCGTGCTGCAGCTCGGCCCAGCGCAGCCCAGTCCCGTTGGCCCCTGGCACTGGCGGGGCACGGCTGGGCTGTGGCTGTGGCTGCAGCAAGGATGGATTTCGGGGGGCTGGCTGTGGCGTCACCCCTGCTCGTCGCCATGTGGCTGAGGGGGTTGCGGTGCCTGGGATGGGGGGCTGCGTCCCCGGGGTGCCTGCAGGCAGGAAGGAGGGGTACAGTCAGTGGGGAGTGGGGGCTTTGGTGGCATCCAGCCCCCACCTACACCCCCACGCTGGGATGCATCAGCTGTGGCACGCCAGCAGTGCGGTGGGGGATGCTCTGGGCTGACCAGGGCTCTGCACGCTGGTGCCTCCCAGGGTTTTCTGTCAGGACCCACAGTGCAGAGGGTGTCACATCCCCGGTCATGTCCCTGACCCCCCCTGGGGAAGCCCCCACCCGCCGAGCACTTAGCACTAATCCCTGCAGGCAGGAATAGATTAGGGCCGTCGTCAGGTGCAATCCTGATTGAAGGTGTCACAGTGTCCCGGCTGGGCAACCCAAGATAGCTGCCATCCTCCCCACCAGCCCTGATGCCCTGGGGATGGGCTCTCACAGCATCTGCAGAATGGATGGGCTTGGACGTAGCCCTGCATCACCTGAGTTCCTGGTCCCGAGTGTCCCTGTGGTGGATGGATGCGCCGCTGGCTGTGGGGTCGCCTTGGTGGCATTTGGGATGCTCACAGCGCCCACAGCACCCCGGACCTGCTGTGGGGAGCCAACGTCCTCCTCAGGCAGCAGCCCTGTGAGAGAGGGCAGAGCAGGGTACTGGCATCTGTAAGCGTTTGGTTCCCACAAAGGGGTCCCCTGCACCGTGCTGGCTCCTACCTGTGCTGGAGGTGCCAGGGGTGGCCGTGCTGGAGGCGGGTAGAGGCGCAGGACTGGTGCTGAGGACAGCCCCTGGGGTGGGCTGGGGTCCCCGCTGCCCAGTCATCCTGGGGTCCGTGCGAGGTGCTGCATCCCCAGGGCTGGTGGTGGTGTGGCTGAGAGGGGCCCTCCGGGTGCTGCGCTGGTGGGACGGGAGCCCCCTGGTCCAGGGCTCAGCCAGTCCCCAGGATGGGGTTATGTGGGGCAGCTGTGGGGCAGAGTTGGGCAGAGCCAGGGAGGGGCTGGAGGGCCCTCCCGTGTCCCCCCAGCTGCTCACCGGCTGTGCAGAGCCACGGCTGGTGTGGGGACGCTGAGTTGGCCCCGTGCCTGTGGGGTGGGAGGCAGGGACAGTGCCCAGTGGGACTGACTGGCTGCTGGCTGGAGCAAGCTGTGCATCCTGAGGCAGCCCCAGGGCCGCCGTGGGTCCCTCCACCATTGTCTGTCCCCCTGTGTGGGCATCTGCTGTCCCCATCCCCACTGCCGGCAGGGGGTTCAGAGCGATGGTGGATACGGTTGACCAAGGGCTGGGAGTGCCAGCTGTCTTCGTGGCATTCTGCCCTGACAGGGACAGACCCTGCCCTACCCAGGGTGGCCCTGTGTCCGTGGGCACCCCAGGGCCCAGTGTGCCCGGTGCAGAGCTGTGAGGCACGGGGCTGTCCTGGCCTTCAGCCTCATGTCCTCGCCAGGTGACAAGTGGCTCCTCTGTCACAGCCAGGGCTGTGCTGCCGTCCCTCCAGGCCCTGGTATCAGCACCTGTCATAGTGGTTTCCATCTTCAGGGGTGCCCCTGTGCCATGCCCTGCCTGCAGCGGGGGGGACCAGTGCACGGGGCTGTTGCCCCCCCGGCGCTCACTCCTGGAGTCCCCGGTGCCGCTCGGCTCCCCTGATGCCTCCCAGGTGGGGGATGGGCCCGGCCACTGCTGTCCCCAGGCAGCGCTGTGCAAGGGGTCCCCACCTAAAGACATCCCTTCCGGCAGCACACCCTGGGCCCCGGCGGGGACCACGGTGGCCAGGAGCATCCCCCAGGTGACGAGCTGTGCTGCAGCCATGGTGAGTACCCAGCTGGCCCTGCGGGGATGGGGGTCTTGTGAGCCAGGACCCACAGCAGCCGCCCGGGGCACTCGCGCAACTGGACGTGGGGCTGCTGTGCCCGTGGCCACCCACTGCCCAGCGAGAGAGCCAGCGGCTTGACTGTCCCTCCTCGAGTAGCCCTGAGCCCTTTTCCCAGCTGTCCCCATCCCCGGTGGCCCCATTCCCAGTCTTTCCTTTCCCAGTGTTCCCGGTGCTCCCCATCGCAGTGTCTCTGGTGCGGGTGGTCCTTGGTGCGTAGTGATCCCCACCTCCAGCGTCCACGATGTCCCTTTCCTGGTGCTCCATCCCCAATGTCCCCTCCCCGGTGCTCCATCCCCGGTTCCCCTCCCGGTGTCCCCTCCCCGGTTCTCCGTCCCCAGTGTCCTCTCCCGGCGTCCCCGCCGGCGGCAGCCCCGCTCTGCCACGCACCGTTCACCTTGGCGAGTCCCGGCCGCATCCCGGCGGGGATGCCCGGCCCGGTGCCCCGCGCCGCCGCCGCACACGCGGCTCAGCCCCGCCGGGCCGGGAACGGGGCCGGGACCGTCAGGCTGCTGCGGCGGCGGCCCCGCGGTGCG